TTAAATTCTGAAATAACAGAATATGGGACACGGTATCCATGGAGAGGAAAACTATCAAGAGGGTTTGACCAAAAATAAGAATACTTGGATTCTACTATCAGCTTTATACTAATCAGTCATTGCTCTTGGCCTTAGTTTTACATGTAAAATAATGATACTACGTTTTCTTTTAGTCTGAAAATTTTAATTCTTAAGTCATTTACAAATGGGCATGATGAATGAAATAATATGGAATAAAATAGTTGTGTGTATTTACGTGACTCTTTTAATTAAGTTCAAATTATTTAGGATACAAAAAAATAATAGAAAGACAAAAGCTATAACTCAAAAGAATCAGATTTTTATATCTTTTGTACATATATATTTAGGAACACTTTCTCTTCAACATGGAAAAATGTTCTCAAATAAGACACTGACTCAGAGCTTTTTAAAAATTTACTATGTGTAGAACTGTAAATGCAGGAAAGGACTCAACTGAAGTCATTATAAATTATCTGAATTTATAAACATATTTCTTAAGAACAAAATTTCAACATAGGGAAAGAATTTTGTGGTACAAGACAGTGTAAATCAGAACATAGCTAAATGTTTGCTGCCATCTTGTGGCTAATTTTGCTTTATAAAATTCTACCATTCACTGTCTATATCTCAATGATAGTATTAGCCATCTTGTGGCTTAGTAATTCAACAGATTGTATTTTAAGAGACATTTGCCATTGACTTTACATTTCAGTATTAAGGCTATACATATGAAAAGGATTATATAATCTATCTAGTCTGACATCCTGATAAATGCAGGAGTTATTTCTATAATAAGGAATCACTATACTGTAAGGAAGCCCATTGGATACCTAGAACTATGAAAAACATTCTTTCTTATAATGAGCAATTTTGTAAGCCTCATAACAAAAGCTATTTCTACCATTTTTCTGGCTAGCATTATGTTGTATGTGCTAGCATTTTATTTCCCTCTATGAAGCTTTTTGTGAAAAAAATAAATTTTTATTTATAACAACATATCCGAGCTCAAATAAAAAAAAAAAAAAAAACAAATCACAAAGTCTGATTATTGTTCTAAAC